ATTACGACAGTCCAGGGGAAACTGCAGGCTGGGGAGTGGTCCCTGAACAGGAACACAGGACCGAAGCATAACTTATTAAAGGGAGAAGTGGACGGGGAGCGTTTCGAGCTGACACACAGGAATACGTAGGCGAGAGATGAAATGCACAGGCACACAGCTACCTCGCTGATCTGACCAAACCACTAACACGGCAACCACGGGAACGAGGAAGACCACTCTCAGCACTCTGTGGAGAACTAAGGGTTCACCTTACAGCCACGTATGGCTGCAAAAACTGATCCGAAGCTTCCGGCGTGGCTACTCTTATCCACCGTCTCTGTAGGCGGGATGAGGCCAGAGCACAGGCTCCAGGGTCACATGACCCAGATTGAAGTCTGGCTCCATTACTTGCCGTGTGGCCTCGTACAAATTACTCAGCTTCTCTACCCTATGCCTCAGTCTCCTCATCTTTAAAATGGAGATAATAATAGTACCTGCCTCCCAGTGTTGTGAGAATTGGTTGAGATAATACTCGAAAATACATGAAAAGAACTTAGATTACTGCCTGGGTCACAGTGAATGCTCCTGTTTGTTAGCTCTTATTTAGAGGCCAGGCATAGCACACTTAACTAAGCCTACCATGGCTCTACTCTTAGGTGCAGGGATACAGAGTGGGCCTTTAAAATCAGACACGTTACCAGTGGCCATCTTTTAAAAAGGTCACCTTAGTTGAGAAAATGTCTTTCTATAGCTCTTGCCCTTGAAATTATTAATAGCATTTTATTTTAGAGGAATATACTACAAAGGTCAACCAAAGCCATTCTATAAATATACTTTATGTAAGTGTGCCTGCCACAAACGGACACTTGCTGTCCTCGTTAACCACGTCTGTGGTGGACCACTCTATAAGCAGTTCTTGAATGACCTGCCTGGAGGAGCTGGACGGGCAAGGGGCAGGGTGCTCAGAACCAGAAGGGCCAAAACTCACGTAGTGAAGCCCCGTACAAGCTCCCAAATGCCCGTGTTAACCACACCTCTTAGGGCAGCAAGAGAAAAATGGCCAGCCTTACATGGGGTTTTAGAAAAATGTGTTGCTCTTAGAGCTTCTGGGCCTTAGATCTGTGACAAGTATAGTGTAAATTACAGTTTAACTTTTAGTTTGTGATTGCATAGTGATTTTACTGTGACATGGGGCTAGACTGAGCTACCCAGGGTTTAAATGTATTATGTACTGTCCTTAGATCCAGTCAGGAATCGCTCATTTGTAGCAATAAAAGTTGCTTCTGCTACACGTGGTTTCTACAGATGGTCTTTCTTTTTATTTAATTTATTTTTTAACGGTTATCACTTAAGAGACTAAATGCTGATTTGGTGTCTACACCAGCCATCTACACAGGCAGGCAGGAAGAGGCAGACGAGGACAACAGAGCATGCGGAGAAGATCACCTGCTGGCGGCCAGGTGCCCGACAGGGAGGTGGAGTAGGGAGAGGAGAGAGCGTGATCACTTTTTTGGGGCAGGTCCGAGAACGCTCCTTTTCCCGTCGCTTTTACACCAACAGACACAAACAGAGAGAACATTGTTGAAACAGTGGCCATGTTTCCTCCCAGAAGACGGGTTCTGGGAGGACTGAAGGGCATTTGCAAAGTGCCCCAACAGGCCCCTTCCTTGCCCCTCCATCCTCAACAGCAAACCCCTATGCTGCCAGAGAGGGGGGGGCCTGTCAGTTTCCTGGCCTCCGGGTAGGACTGTACCTTCCTGTTAGGCACAGATGCATAGGTCATCTAGGTAGCTGGTTAGAACCTGCAGTGTAGTACTTTCCAGATGCCAGGGATCAAGGGTTTCATCGAGGAGGTTGGGGGACAGAAGAAATGGGCTTGATTATGAGTGGAGCAGAAGGGTTAACAAGCCAACTACCATGAGGGGATACGGAGGCTCCCTCCCAAGGCTTGGTCACATGTGTCCCCAATGCAGTAAAGCAGCATTGCTCCCTTCTCAGCCCTGCGTGCACACTCAAAAGGTTCTGGAAAACCACCAAGGAAATATAAGAAAGTGTAGGAAAACAACAGGATAGAAAAATTAAACCTCTTTCCTTAATGGAATGCCATATGCATGTTCATGGCTTCCCTTCATTCTTCCCCCTCTCCCTTGTACACCCTTCCTTGGGAGTCTGCCTCTAATTCAGAGAGTCCCTCTGCACCGCAGAAATAATCCCATGTTCCTAGGCCTCTCTGATCCCTTCCAGGAGAATTCTCACTCCCTGGCCCGGATGGCTGTGTGCAGTAGGTGCAGGTAAGGCCCAGGAGGGAAGGAGGCTGTGGAAGCCACGACGCCTGGGGAAACAGCTCCGCTGCTTGTTCCCAACTCACATGACAATCTACTTCCAAACCAAGGCTGGTTAATGCACTGTTGACCTTCAGGACACATTTCTGAGATCAAAAGGCAAAAGACTGGGGAAGGGAAGAGCCACAGTGTTGACAAAGGAAGGTAAAAGAAAAGTCATTGGCAGGCAAAGTTATTCATTTCCCTTCTCCACACCATGACCTAAGCTGAAACTGGTCCTTGTGCCAACTTTGCCATCACTGCCATGCTTGCCACACCCTCCTGTCCCTGTCTGAACCACTTCCAGAGGAGCACAAAGTGAGTCACAGTGAGGTGTTACCCATCAGCCCCCACTCCTGATGGGAGACACAGGGGCCAACCATCAGGGTGTGTCAAAGCAGGGCCCTGGGCATCACTGGAGTTCCTCTGTCCCCATGTTTCTGAAGCATCTGGCAGTGCGACTCCAACTCTCTTTGAGGGGATAAATTCAGAAGGCAAAGATTCCTGATTTAGTGCTAAGAAACATTCTATGTGAATGTTGTACATTTTACCTGGACATAAGAACTATGAGTCAGGGTTCACGGTGCTATCTCCCTGCAGCCGCCTAAGCTCACGATTCCTGACTTTATATAACCTAAAGCACCTGAGGACCTCACAGGATGTTCACTGTTTGTGGTTTCTCACCTACCAAGTCTCATTCATCCACCTACCCGGTGACTCTTTCTAACTACCATCTCCGGGGCCCATTTCGTAGACATAGAGCCTGTATTTGGCTTCAAGGTTCTATTCTGCTACCCCTCAGCCTGCCAGTCTTTTGCTCTGCTGACTGTGATCATGATCACCCAGATGACAAGCTGTCTTGGCTGGGACTAACAACATTCTCCAGGGAGTTAGAGGCTACCAGATACTTGAACAGGAGAAACACAGTAGTCCCACGAACACCAAGCCCCTGGAACTCTTTCAGTACAGCTCAATCAGATGAGAAGCCAATGTGTGAGTCGTCACCAGGACCGAGGCCTCCGGTTGGCTGGCTCCTCAGGCCACACCTGCTACCCAAGACTCCTGACCAAGCCCCCCAAAAGTGGCTCCAGGCACATGCCACCCTGGAGCATCTGTTCACTCACTGGAGTGTATTACTCCTCGCCTCCCTTCCCCTCTGCTGCTCCTATCTCAGGCAACCTTTATGAACATCATAGGAGTCTAGAGTTTTTTGAATCTAGTTTAGAGTTCACTTTCCCCTTCAACAGACACTCAACTAAAGATCACCTTTCTAATCATACCTTCCACCTAGACTTCAAGGCAAAGGGTAAGAAAATAAAACTCAAGTAAATTTCTGAAGATTTTTTTTTCAGAAGACCTCTTCCAAGCCTAGGGAAAGGAGAAGCTTGGCTTCTGTGGTGAATTTGGACACTGCTCCCAAAGTTCCAACCTCTCCTTCATGGGTCCTGCCTTTAATGTGGTATATTATTATTATTATTTAATTTTTTTAAGAGACAGGGTTTTGCTCTGTTGCCCAGGCTAGACTGTACTAGCCAGATCATAGCTTGCTGTAGCCTCGAAATCCTAGGCTCAAGTGATCCTCCTGCCTCAGCCTCCTGAGTACCTGGGACTTCAGACATACATCACCGTGCCTGGCTAATTTTTTAATTTTTTTGTAGGGACGGGGTCTTGCTATGTTGCCAAGGCTGGTCTCGAACTCTTGGACTTAAGCAGTCCACCTGCCTCAGCCTCCCCAAGTGCTGGGATTACAGGCATGAGCCACCATGGCCAGACTAATGTGGCATATTATTAAAGAATAGTTAGAAAGGAACACTTCCCCTGAATATAATTTCAATAAAACTCAACTTGCCACTCCCCAGCACCTCCTGGCAGATGACACTGTATGGTACAAGAGGCTGGCGGAACCAACTGTAAAAGATGCCGATGGAAACAACTCATCTGACTGCTCAGCATCGTGTAAGTCCTAATGATACAAACCATGACACGGCCTACCCAGGCTCCACTCCCACACAGGGACTTGCTCAGCTGTGACACGGGAGAAAATACATTAGCGGCCTCCACTCCTGCTGATTGGTTTTCTATCATAAACCAGGTGCCATCATCTTCCCTATTCAGTATTACTTAGGATAAGCAGTTTTCTAGGAGGTCTTGCAAAGGTTTTAGTGAAAATTTCCAAAAAGAGTATTTTAAATGTAGAACACCAAGAAAATGTCCATGAACACCTTTGTCCAGGATTTGAAACAAATAAAAATCACAGTTCAAGACTATTTTCTTGGATAACATTTTTCTATTTAATGTGAAAGGTTCTGCTGCCCCAACACTCAGCCTTGACTGAGTCAGGATTCTCCCTCCAACGGTCACGAGAAGACTGCTAGGAAAAAGGCAGCTTGAGAAAAACGTGACAACGGCAAATCCCCAGGGGCTGAGGTACCAGAACGACTTACCACATAGCCTAAGCTAGTTCCAAGCCAATTCAATAATCCACTCTTTAACTGGTTTCTCAAATCCCAAGGAGTTAAATAAATCACTGAATCCAATCAGCACTGTCAGTTAAATGTCTTCCCAGAGTCACTATTTAAATGAGCACAGAGACCTCCTGCCCTGGGAGCCAGGGTTCTAGCATTCGGGCCTCAGCACTGCCTGGCTCAGGAGGAGGAAAGGGGTGGGAAGGCCTGGGCAGGCACCTGGCAGCTCCTTTACCTGTTTCCACCGGGGGTTGGGAGCAGGGCGACCCTGCTCAGGCGGGCAGCAGGACGGCCGGCTGGCCCCACGCACTTGTGTAGGCTGTGACACACGGGCCAAGTGTGGGCAGAGACAGGACATGGAGACAAAACAGAATAAAATAGGTCAAGGTGGGAGAAGACACTGAAAGGTACTCATGGAAGACAGACACACATCTGTGAACTGTGGGGGGAGGTAGAATCAACTCTTAGAAAGCCACACAGAGGAAAGAAAATAGGCTCCCCTCTAAGCCAAAAGCAAATGCCAAAAAAAAAAAAAAAAAAGGAAAACAGGCGCTGTGATTCTTGTTATCCTTATCCCTAACTCAATGCTCTCTCAGTCTAAACTACCAATTCTGATTTGGAAAACTAATCTTTCCACCCAAAATGAGGAAAGCACCCTCCAACAAAGAGCATTCCTGCTTTCCTGAAGGGGGCTGGACCTGGGGCTGCCAGAGCCTCCAGGCAACCTCAACTGTCTACAACGAATATGACCATCTTTTCTGTGAGCCGCACATGAGAAGACTGGAGTGCAAAGACTATGTGAGAAGAAATTAATTGTGCCAGACTCCACGCAAAGCCACCCCTCCCCCTCCCGCTCAGTCCACAGGAATGCTGAGTAAGGAGGAGGGGGGGAGCAGGGGAGGGAGAGAGGGAGAGAGAATGCAGAGAACGGCCTGGCCTCCGGTTGCTTTTCCCGGTCATCAAGGAGTTTTACGAGAAACTTTCAGTGTGAATTTCAAAACAGCCCATCCTCTTGTATAAAGTCTAAGTGACTTTCTAGACACCCTCCAACAAAGACCCCTCAAGTCAAATGCTCCTGCCTAGAACCTCACACATGACTTGTGGGAGTCCCATTTAGCCAGAAAGTTCATATTCCTAGCAATATCCCAGGAAAATAATCTGCAACACACAAAAGCAGCTTTATTGCAAGAATGTTTACCTCTGTATTTTATCAAGAAATATGAGAAACAACTAAAACATCCAATACTAGTGCAACAGTTAAGAAAAGCACGGTACCACACATTTCAAAAGAGGCTTGCAAAGAGTTTGGAACAACATGGGAATATGCCTAAAGATAAATGAAAAAAGCAGAAGAGAAAGTGTATGTTAAGAATGACCTCAACTATAAAAACAAGAAAGCACTTTAAAAAAAGACAATAAGCAAAATATTAACAGAATTATAAGTAATTACCTTTATTAGACTTTTCAGCATTTTTCCTTCATAAGCATGCACTTCTTTATAATTTAAATATGTCTGTGAATATACATATAGGTGTAGATATATAGATACAGACATACATGTTTTAGGCCCCTCTGATGATTTTTGTCACAGACACATCAGAAGGTTAAGGACAAAGCAGCCCTGAATGTGTGGGCAAGCTTCTGAAACTCTCCCCACTGCCCTGGTCAGACAAGGGGAAAGCCAGACATCAGTCTTGAGCCTACGAACCCTGGAGCCGTGACAAAGCCCATCTCACTTGACTCTAAAGACCGCTCCTTCCTGTGTGCCCTGAGCGAACGTGGATGGGCGAGGTGTGAGATGGGCTTACCTGTCTCCGTATGCCGGCGGACTGCGCAGGTGCGTTCTCTTCAAATTTGGCCAGCAGCTGTGTCGCCATGTACTTCACTTTGTTCTGGTTGCCAACAGCAATATCCATCCTCCTGTCCGTCAGAGTGCTCACCAGTGTCAGTCTTTCTCCTCTGTGGCCCCGGGGAGCCTCCTCCTGAAGAACACCAAGCACCCAAGAACCAGCTCTGTTACAGGAGGCTCCAAATGCTCTTCCCTCAAAGAAGAAGTGTGATCAGGCCCTGGCACAGTGGCTGGCAGTTTTGCTTTAGGTCGAGCTCGGCAGCTCTCTTCAAGGTTCTGATGTACACATGGAGTCAGCAAGACTCTGGTAAACACGGAGGTATAAAGAGGTCTCAGACTTGTGCTGGTATTGTCGAATCCCAGGAGAGCCCCTGTGCTTTGCCAAATGTGGGATTCCAAAGAGACAAGAAGGTCTGAGTGCACAGGCGTGTTATGTTCTCTGAATGCTTTATAGAAAATTAAACAAAGGCAAAAGCCCAGAGAAAAAACATCTGGCCACAGAAATTCTCATAAAGGACAAACATGAAGCAATCTAGCAATACCAACGTGGAAATAAAGGATTTAAACCAAAAGGGCACAATTCAGTATTATTATCGTCATTCTAACAAATTCTAGATGAATCTCACCTCCTCTGATTGACTGGTCTTTCTCCTCTTTCCAGCACCATCCAAGTCCTTTTCCTTTTTATCCTATACCAAGAGAGGAGGGAAACTGCGTTATTCTAGTCACCGTACCTTTCCATTAGCTTTGTAGCCGGTAAAGGATTCTTCCACATACCTTGGGAGAGCGCTTCCGAGAGATGGTCTGCCCAAGTTTGCTTAGGAAGGAGATGGGGGATTTGGTGCTGGCTATCAAGACTGCTTTCTCCTCGGCATTCAGGTCCAAGGTGTCTGTGAACAGAAATCAGCGATGTTCAAGGACAGCCCTGCAGGGTGCCAGAGTCCTGGCCAGAACTACTCTCCCTTGCAGGCGGCTCCCAGAATCTCCGAAAGCTCCCAAGGTTCACCGGCTGTGACAAAGCACGTGAATCTCAGTAGGGAACTCCCGAGAAGAAACCACACTTGGGTCTACACGTGGAACCTTCTCTTTTCCATCCGCATAAACAAAAACAACTCTTTCCCCCAATCTACTTCAGTTACAAAAACCTCTGCTTTTCCTTTTCACAAGTTGGAATCTGCACTGGATCATTAGTTGCAGCAGAGTATTGATGCTTCATCTTTGTGATAAAAACTTAGGGACAGAGAGGGAGAGAGAAATCAGGAGGTAACTTGGAGTCTTCAGTTTTGATACAGGCAGAAGCCATGCTCTGAGCTGCACACAAAGGGGCTCTCCCGGAACGGGCACAGTAATGTTAGAGTTGTGGATTTCTGTTGTAAGAACTGCACACCTAATCAGGAATAGCCACAGATGCCTATAAGAGCACACAAGCTGGAAGGCACTAGAGGGTGGCACCATAAATTTTGTGGACTTCAATGTTTTACTATTAATATTAATTTTAAAAAGTGTAATTAATAATAAATTGCTAACGTTTATTAAGTGCTTCCATTTGCCAAACACTCTTCTTAGCACATCACAATGTAATTGTATGTATAATCCCCATTTTACATATGGGGAAACCAAGGAACAGGGAAATTTAGTAACTTGCCTAAGGTCGAACAAGTGAAGTACTGGGATATAAACCCAGGTCAGACACCATAGTCAATACTCTTAAGCATTATGCTACATTTATTCCAAGGGACAATTAATGACAATAGGAGTATTTTTCATAACACTCTGACAGGCAGCAAGCTAAGGGAAAATCTGCAGGAAACACTAAGAGGTTAAGAGTAGAAAGAGAAGCCAGAGGAGGCATGGTTACAGAAGGAAGGAGGAGAATGAGCCAAGTGCGGCTCAGGGTGGCAGGCGCTGAGAAGAAAAAGGACATCACTCCACAGGGATGAACAGCGCAGAAAAGCCAAGTGCATGAGAGATGAGAGATGAGAAAAGAACACAGAGTTGGTGATTCTTCCTGACTGTGGAGAACAGCTTGAGGAAAGTGGCACAAAGGGAAGCCAGGTTACAAAGCATTACTAAGTTTAGGCCCCGAGGAAGTGGAAGCCACAAGCACAAACCACTTTTTCAAAAAGGCTGGTTCTGAGAGAAAGGGTATGAAAAGGCAATAGAGTCAAGGAAAAAGATTTTGGGCAGGAATGACTTTTGCATAGCTACAGATACAGTGAGAAAGATCTGGGAAAGAATGAGAGGTGGAGAACACATTATTAGAGAAGGTAAAATAAAGGAGCAAAGTTCCAGAGATTTCCCATGATGGCCAACTGGTAAAAACAGTCGGCTTGTGTGTGTTTGGTGGTAGTGATGAAGGACACAGTCAGAAGGAAAGGAAGGCCAGGTCACAACACAGCAGGCCATGGGGGCTTCTGCACCAGCGCTGCCCAGGCCTTACCGCTGGAGGGGAGCGAGTCCTTGAACATCTCGTAGAACTGGGTCAGGTACATCACCATGGATAGCTTGTCGGGCTCCCCCACGGAGGCCATTTCTTTGCCTGTCATGATGGGAGAAATGCCCAGTTCCTTCTCAGCAATATCAAAGGCCAGTTGGTTATTCTTTTCCACATTTTGCTCATCCAAAGAATCAAAATCTCTGAGAACAGGACGAGAAAAACATATCAAGACGGGTAGACCATCCCCAAAGCGGAGAACACAGTATTGTGGAGCCATCAGCACTTCTCAGTCTCTGGCTAAAATCCGAGGGGCAGCGCATTACTGAAATCTCACCGCAAACCTGTTTATCTCACCTCTTCTCGTTCCTTTTACTAAGGAAATGCACAGCATCCTCAAGACAAAATGATTAAACGTCTATCCAATAAAAGAAAAAAGAGGGGAAAAGTTGAAAAACTACTTTCATTTTTCCAGGAACACAAATTTCTTACTAAAATATAAGCTCAGGAATAGGAAGTATCTTTAATATATATTCTCTTGTGCCTTGTGTGTGGTACGTATTAAACTTATGTCAAATAATGACAAATATCCTATTTGGATCAGACTGCTCCTGAAGACCTAGGATTATCACCCACCACGGCTGTTGGACCTGACAAGCTGTTAATGTACTTAATCAGCTCTTGTAAATCTTATTTGGCTTTCTCCTTGAGGGAAAATCTCAAAACCTTCCTCAAAAGATTTTACCATTGCTAAATTTCTGAGTTTTCCCAAGTATTTGGATTAATAAACATGTCCTACTGGGTTACTTCTTGCTACTCACAGTAAGAACTGATAGCATTGTTCTTTAGGTGATTTCGGGGTAACCTGGCAGTCCTTATTTTGTGTTAACCTACTGACCCCATACCATTTTTTCAAATTCCTTTTCTCTGTAGGTTAAGTGTGTTAAACTATGGAGACTCATCCTGAAAGAAGTCATTGTAGTCTAAACAGTGCCAATTACCTCCCCACTGCTTTGTGTTCTGCTATGAGTTAATTCCCCTAAGACCTTCTCTAGGCAGCCTGGTCTGACAGGACACATCCCCTTTGCCTCCACACTTGCCCTTCATCCAATCTGTACCCTCAACTACCTCTGCCTGCATCCTTTTTTCTTGCCTTGCCTTTGGAATATGCTGATTCACCTGGCCCCATCCTCTGAAGCACTTTAGTGTCACCGAGCACAATCTTTCTCAAGCTGCTCTACCTCCCCAACCCCCTGCTTTCATTTATCTTTTACTAACTCTGGATGAGCTAAGGGACATGAGCACAGGAGGTCATTTACTGTCACCCAAGCACATCAGAAATCCCCATTTTTCATCCACACTGTGCAAGACTGTTTTTATTAGCTCTTGTCTCATTAGCTTATGACCATCATAAAAACAGGGACTATGTCTTTTAGGATTCCTTAAGCAATCATTTAAAAAAAAACAAACAGACACTAGGCCCTTAAGTGGACCTAATGATAAAAACGACAAGCAGCCAAACTCAACATGCTCTGCTTCTGTTTCTGAATCTTTTTGTTTGGCTTCCATGGTAACAAACGCTGATGGGGGAAATCTGAGGGCACTGGTCTCTGCAGCTGGCCTGGGGTCCTCCTAGTGTACTGATTCTGTAGACAGGTGAGTAGGGAATGGCCAAAGAGATGTTACTGTTATAGGTGGGTAACATGAGGAAAGTTTCATGGACCTGACAGTGCGTGTTTGCAAAAAGTATAGTCTTTAACAAAGAGAAAATGCCAATGAACCATCAAAAACAGGGGAAGTATTCATTGTTTTTTGTTTTGTTGGTTGTGACATATTTGCCTTGAGCTGGCCAAATGTTCTAGCCAGGTTTCCCTTGTGATCGAGAGAGTCTGAGAGACAGTTGGCTGAAATGAAGAGTTCAACTCAGGGCCAATAAACAGTTTTCCTTTGTGTGAAGCTAATAGGCCCAGGTTGGTCCTGGGTTGAGCTATATAATGCATGACATATAGTGTTTATAAATATAACTAAATCAAAATCATTGCCTTCCAAAGTATCTTACTATGTACCTTATTCTAGGAGAAAGGACACAATTTGGCTACTTGATAGCAAGGTACTCTGAGATCTTTAGGGAACATAAAATAAAACACAAAGTTTGGTCAGGACTTACATCAGATCAGGACGGTATCTGTGGATAATTGCACAAAGGGCCAACCCACTTTTCCAGGACATGGTGAGATCTGTCACATTTACCCCTGCATAGCCATCCGTCTGCCTCTGGCACCAACCCAGCAGTTTGCTTGAACGAGCTACAGACTCTGAAACAACAACAATCATCATCTGAAGTGTGGTAACCACAGGATATGGGATCCTCTCTTCAGTACATATATCCAGTGTGAAAAATTACTGAGGATAGGGACAAAATAGTTACCACTAGATCTCAAATCTTTTGAGATCAGTGAGGAATAAGGTTATGTAGCTGGTATCATGATAGTGCTATTATAGAAAGACAGGAAACTACCAATTTATCCAGACTCTAAGGTCAATGTCCACCCCGCTAACAGACTGATAAATCACACCCGGCGTGGTCTGGACCTGACCATGCCGAAGCCCAGTGTCCCCATGGCACTCATGGACGCTGACTCAGATGGAAGAGTGCCACCTACTGAGCGATCACCCTCATTTGCAACAGTTCTAGCATTTCCCTGGAGAGTTGCTTGGCAAGCGGCCCAGGAAGGCTTTTCCCTCCAAAGTAACAGATAAGAAAAGGTTCCATTCTATCTAGCAGCACATTCAACCAAAAATAAACAGAGTCTTGCTCTTACACTTTCCAAGGTAGCAAGCAATTTGCCAAGTGAAGAAATTCTGTAGAGTTACACTGACAAAGCCAGGAACCCCAGACAATCCCTCAGCCCAAGTTTGGTACCTTGTATTATAAATTATCACATCTTAAAAAACTGAATAGGCAAACACATATTTTACAGTTCCTTGATATTTCTTCTAAAACCCTAACAGCCTTTATAACAATCTTTTTTTTAAATTACATCAGAATAGCTCTGATATGGAGCATTTAAGAGAATCTGTGAACTCCTATTTGTGTCCAAGGAAGTCTGTTCCCTTACCTAAAGCAGCTGAAAATATTTAGCCTTGTACTAAGTCATTTAGTGATCTGTGAACATAAGATAAAAAATGTATATCACAAAAATCCTGTTTAAGTCTTTCACAGTGAAAACGTATCCTGAAACTACAGATAGAACCACTTCTAGTGCCATCTCTTGGCTCAGAAATTAACTTTATTCAGATGCCTCCCAAATCTGTCTGTCCAACCATCCAATATGTATTGGACAACTTCAGTATTCCAGGTTCTAAAATAATAACAGTGAATAAAGATACTCTCTGCTTTCAAGGAAATGACGTCCCAGTGGAAAAATATGAAAATGTTTCCAACTGCCTGTTGGTCCTCATATCCACCCTGATACACCAAAAACATGTCAGATTCAAAATGTCCAGAACAGAACTCAAACCTTCTCTCACATCTTCTCAGCTCTGCCCTGCCTTGTCTGCACCGACGCCGCACCGTCCACAAACACCTGCCTCTTGCCCCACAGCTGCCCGTGCCTGTGGCTCCTTAATATTCTCTCACATAATTATCAACGCCAGTGACCACCCCAATGTGCCAAGCACTGTAATAAGCACTCTCCACAGTCAAAGAACCCTCATGATCGCCCCTCCATTTCAGACAAGGAAACCCAAGTTCAGAGATGTTAAATCATCTCTTCAAGGCCACACACTTCACAAATGGCAAAGCTTGGACTGGGACCCACTTGCATCTGGCCCCAAAGTCAGAGTTCTTCTCCACCCACTTCTTTCTTCTCCATCCGCAGCTTTAGGATCAGATTTGGGCCTTTCCCACCTTTAGCTTGACCACCGTGATGCATTTCTTACTCGTCTCCCCACCTCTGGCACTTCCCTTCTCCAGTCTTCTTACATGCAACTGATCAGGTGTACTCACTTCACGCTGCTTTCACAACAGCTTCAGTACACACAACGTATGGAGTGGGCTGCATCTTTGTCATTGAATCCTGGCAGCCACAGGACCCAGCTAAAATGCCACCAATTCTTCTGTAAAGTCTTCCCCCAAAACCTTAGCTCTCATGCTCTCTCCCCCCTACTCTCCCCACACCCCTTCCAGCATGTGTATCTGGTTTATCTCTATGTTGTCGTAACATCTTAGGACCAAGGTAATTCTTTGTTGTGGGGACCTGCCTTGTGCACTGTAGGAGGTTTAGCAGCATCCCTGGCTTCTACCCACTAGATGCCAGCAGCACCTGCCCCCAATTGTGACAATCAAAAATGTCCCCAGACACTGCCAAATGTCCTCTGGAAGGCAAAATCACCCCTGGTTGACAGCCACTGTCTTAGACGGTACTGTGGACACATAACGGCTCAATAAATGAGTACAGACTTCTCTGAATAGGTTACCTGTATTTCAAAAGGCCACTGCCAGCACTCACCATTGCGAGTCAGCTTTGGGGTAGTTCGGGAATTCACCAAGTTCTCCATTTCCAGATGAATATCTTTTGTTTCTCCAGTATCATATAAATGGCGCACCTGGCAGAAAGTTACAAAGTCAAACACAATGAAAATCAAACATCAAGTAATAAATTCCCACCTAAAAGCAAAATGGCTAAGATGAAAGATTGGGAAGCAAGTTGGGCAAAGTTCAGAGAGAAGTTACCGTGATGGCTTTGAATCCTTCATGGAATGAGGTGGGGTTATAGAGAAACAAATGCATATTAACTGTAAGAAGTTGTGCTAAAACTTAGCTACTTGGCCACAGACGTCCCTCTGAGAGTCTCTATTGGATCATTAAGCTGCCCGTAAACAGCAGGTTTTATGGACAACTTAAGAACTTACTACATATAGGTACAGAAGGCCTAAAGGTGTAAACTTCAAGTAGAAGGAGAATTAAAAATTACACTAGAACACAGGCCAATATATCAATGGGCTGCTTTCTTACAGTTGCTCTACTTTTTGGGATTATTGTGCTTTGTAAGATGTCATCCTCATTGCAGTACTGAGATTTAGAGATCCTGAGAAGCAACTCAGTAGTACAAAAAAACCAACTGATAATACTAATAGTATCTTTTACTTTCAAAAGTGTTTTATCTTTCCAAGTTCTTTCAAGTGAGCAATCCCACTTGCCCTCACAATGGTCCTGTGAGTAGGTAGGGATTATTATCCCCATTTTTCAGGTAAAGAAACTGAGGTTCAGAGACCGTGAAATGACCTGTCCAAGACACAGGTGATTAGCCTATAATGAAAGCGGAAGTCACATCTCCTGACTACTGGACAAGTGCTCTTTCCCCTACAATATGCAATTTGAATCAGGAGGTGTGGGATAAAGTCCTGGATCCACCATTTTTGGTCATGTTTGATCTTCTGCAAGTCAATCAACAACTCTACGCCTTAGCTGCCCAATCTGTTGATGGAAAATAACCTGAAAATAATACTTCCACCAATTCAAAAAGAGATCTACTTGGATTACTAAAAAAGTGTTCTGTATATGTTCGGTATTAATAGTTTTATACATTTCAATATATCAGAGTTCTGATCAGTCCTGAGAATGGGCCCAGATGCAGATAAACTGACTAGAAGGCTCTTACCTGGCTTGGCCGAAGGAAGTTGACGTTAATATTGGGATACCTAGTGACAGGGTCGATGCTGTATTGGCTGAAGTTTTTACTCACATTCTCAGGGGTGGTCTGGGGCAGCAACCTATAAATACTTTCCCTGCAATAATATACAACAATATGCTCACAGGAGTGACAAGCACCATAAACATCTCCCTCCCCTTTTGTAGTATTTCTATTTTTTGACAGTCTACCAAATTGTCTAAAGTATACAACGAATCCTCATCCTTGACCACTTTCCTCAACCAGGCCTTGTTTCCCATACCCACCACCTCGTTCATCCCAAGGGCACTGACTGGTAAGAGTCAAGGAGAAGAACAGGTACAATGCTATGAGCAGTAATGAATGCCTGACTCTTATCTAAAAGGCAACTAGCTTACTGCTTTGTTTTTTTCAAGTAAGCCAATATTTAAGTTTTAAGAAAATCACAGATAAAAAAAGAACTTGCCACCATGTTTAGCTAGAATGCCTTAAATAACAGACTTAGAATGATAAAATGATATCAACTACCAATTTCGTCTGGGAAATCTTATCTCTCTAGTTCTTCTGGTCAAAGCATTAGTTCTTTATTATCCAGCACATCCTAGGATTTTTATCTCATTTGCAAAAATCTGCTTCAAAACATCTGACATTTAAGGGTTTGAGAAAGATTTATAAGCAGTTTGGTGTTTCCTTTGATTTCAAAACCACTTTTAATTTCTTCTCCATCAGTAATAAATTTTATTTGGGAAGGGATAAGAAAAGAGCAATAGATTAATCTTTAGGTTTCTATGATTTTATGAAATAGTATCTTGCCTTTCCTCTTTTAAACATGAAAACATCTTTAATTAAGAAAGGAGAGAGGGCTGGGCACGGTGGCTCACGCCTATAATCCTAGCACTCTGGGAGGCCAAAGTGGGAGATATTCAAGACTAGCCTAAGCAAGAGTGAGACCCTGTCTCTACCAAAAAGAAAGGAAAAAAAACCCAGCTGGGTATTGTGCGCCTGTAGTCCCAGCTACCGGAGAGACTGAGGCAGAAGGATCACTTTGAGCCCAGGAGTTGAAGGTTGCAATGAGCTACAATGATGCCACTGCACTCTACCCAGGGCGACAAAAGGAGACTGTCTCAACAAAAACAAACAAGGCAACTGAACACCCTTCATCATACCCCCCGAACTCTTAAAAACTTAAAATTTAAAAACTCAAAAAAAGATAGTTGGGGATAGGGCTGGGCAGGAG